AGGAAGTGTTACTATCCCCATTTTCTAGAGGAGGAAACCAAAAAGATTAAATAGAATCTTGTAGAATAGCACAGAATTAGTAAGAGTCACAAGTCTAGTTTTACTATTTGATTCTAAAGCTTCAACTTTCCGACTGCACCAAGTTATAAAAGTTTGGGAGCTACTTCTACTTCTGCTCGGAGGACCCTATCCTTCTTCTTTATCAATAAAAGAATCATACTTTTCTTTGAATTAAAACATATACAGAGAAAAATTTACACTTATCTTAAGTCTGATGGAGTTTTCACAGACTGAGCCCATCCCTGAACTGGCTCCCAGATCAAGACATGAAGGATCATCAGCATCCTCATGGGTTCCTTATATATCTGCCCAGTCAGGAACCCCTACCTCCAGAGTAACCACTCTCCTGACTCCTATCATGCATTAATTTTGCCTCTTTCTGTTTATTATACCTAGACTCATACCGTCTGTTCCTGCTTTCTTTCACCCAATATTGTGTTGGTAAGATTCATTCATAATACTGCAAGTCATTGAAAAATTTCATTCTCATTGATGTATAGTATTCCAGTATATGAATAAACCACAATTATCCTTATCCTTATGTCTTTAGTTGCCAGGAAATGGAATACTTTCTGTTTGGTGTTTCTAGTAGGCAGAATAATGGTTCCCCAAAGATGTCTACATCCTAATCCCTGTGAATATGTTGTCTTCCATGACAAGAGGGAGTTTGCAAGTGTGATTAAGTTAAGGCTCTTGAGATGGGGAGATTTTCCTAGTTTATCCAGATGGGCCCAATGTAATTGAAAAAGTTCTTACGAGAGAGAGGTAAGGGAGTCAAAGTCAGAGAGGAGATGTGATAATGGCAGCAAAGGTTGGAATGATGTGTTTTCAAGATATAATCTAAGGATGGCAGCTGGAAAAGGCAAAGAAATATTTACACCCAGCTCCTCCAGAGAGAATGTAGCTATGTCAGCACATTGATTTTAGCCCATGGGATCCATGGGGATTTCTGACCTACAGAATCATAGATAGCACATTGGTATTTAGCTCATGAAGTCTTTGGTAATTTGTTATAGCGGCAATAGTAAACTAACACAGAGCTATTATGGGTACAGCCACTATGAACATTCTAGTACCTGTATTTTGGTGAACATACAAACATATTGCTTTAGAATATACATCCCTGGGGAGGAGACTGCTGAGTCATAGAATATGCATAGTTCAACTAAAGTTGAACTATGTTTCCGAGATGGTTTTATCTATGTAAATTCGGCACTAGAAGTGATGAGAGTTTTGGTTACTTCACATCTTTGCTGATATCTGAAGTTTTCTTTTCTCACTTAGAAATTCTGGTGTGCAGTGGTATCTTTTTGTGGTTTTAATTTGCTTTTCCTGATGACTAATAAGTGTTGAACACTTTTTCATATATTTGTTGGCCATTTGGACTTTTTGTAAAGTGTTTATTTTCTTCCAATTTCTTTCTCCCTACTGGGTTATATGTCTGTCTTGATTATTTTAACTATAGAATCCATTCAGCAATACTTTCCAGAAACTGTACTCATGCTTCAAAATGATCTTTCTCTATTCTATCCCATTTTTCTAACTTTCATTCTTCAGTTTCCCTCCAAAGAAATACATCATAAGCTGACTCAGATCTACTCATGACTTCCTGTAAGTTTGCAATTACCTCTTTTAGAGCTTTGCAATTTTTTAAAAAGAGGATATTTGATCCAATTTCTTGACAGTACCGGCATTTCTACAACCTCTCCTTATCTAGGTCTGCAAAGTAAGGCCTAACAACTCCATATTTAGACCTCTTGGGGCTTTCCAAGAAAAAAGCAAAGTCTACCACATGGCCACTCTTCCCTGTAGCCAAATTTGATACGTGTAGTTAGGAAGCTTAATGGTCTATGGAGTTCAGTTATGGTGGGAGACACCAACAGAATTGCACTCTTTTAGTTTCTTCCAAATATTGGTGATTTGGGATCTCTCTTTTTTCTTTGTCAGTCTTGGTAGAGATTTACCAATCTTATTGATCTTTCATGTGGCCAGCTCTTGGTTTCATTTATATTATCTATTGGTTTTCTGTTTTCAGTTCTATTGCTATGCTGTTATTTTTAATTAATTCCCTCACTCTTCTTTGTTTTCCATTGTTTTAAGGTAGAATCTTGGATTATTTATTTGTGATCTTTATTCTTTTCTAACATAAGAATTTAATGCTATAAATTTCTCTCTAAGCACTGCCTTAAACACATCACACAAATTTTGAGAAGTTGTATTTTCATTTTTGCTCAGTTCAAAATATTTTCTAATGTTTTTCTAATCTTCCTTTAGTCTCCTTTTTTGACCTATGGTTTGCTTAGAAATTTAACTTTCATTTCCAAGTGTGAAGAGACTTTCTTTGTTGTAGTTATGTAATTAATTTTTAGCTTAATTCAGTTATGATCTGAGGACATACTTTGCATGATCCCAAGTCATTTAAGTTTGCTAAAGTTTGTTTTTGACATAGGTATTTTCTACCTTGGTAAATGTTCCATGTGACACTAAGAAAAAAATGTCTGTTTTTCAATATATTTTTGAATAGATTATCTGCCACTCTTGGTTGGAGTTCTGTATACAACTAGATGGAGTTAGTTGGTGGTGTAGGTCAGTTGCTATCCTTGCTGATTTTCTTCCTACTAGTTCTATTTACTGCAGAGAGAAGGGTGTTGATGTCTCCAGGTATAACTGGGGACTTGTTTATCTCTCCTTTCAGTTCTGCCAGTTTTTGCTTCATGTATTTTGAAATTCTGTTGTTAGATGCCCACACATTTAGAATTATTATGCTTTTTTGGTGTATTAACACTTTTTTCATTATCTAATGTCTCTTTAGGTGCATGGTTTAACTTAATTTTTCCATTTGTGTATGGAATCTGAGAAAAATACATATAGGATATTTTGGATTCTTGAATGTAGACTTAGTCCTGATTATATTATGTTCTTTCAACAATGCTAATTTGTAAGGGTCTGGACTCTTTTAATGTTAGTTGAACCAATATCCCAATATCACCTGTTTGGCTCAATCTTAAGCAGAAAAGTTAGAAGAGCTTGTCATTGAGAAATGTTTAGTCCTGTGGAGTCACAGGCTTTTTCTAGCGCCAATTTTCTCTAAAACTATAAGCTAGGAATTATTTGTTTTTAAAAGGCTCAATTTTGGTTTATAGATTTCAAGTGGATGAAGACTGCTTCCAGGATCCTTGTCCAAGCACTTCCTCTATTTTGGTTGTCCTTCACCTCTGCCTGTGAGAAAACAGGCATAGTTTCTAGGAGAGAGGGTATCTGTCTGTGACATAGAAGGCCAAAAAAGATGAGCAGAGAGAAAAAGGAGACTGTGGAAGTGAGGGAAACCATGGCCTAAGAAAGATTTGTTCCTTTCCCTAGCAACCTTAAGTTTTGGTCACACAATTCTACTGCACTTCTGATAGATTGATGATCTGATGGAGTGTGGCAAATACAAGTGTCTAGCCTCCTGTTCTCTCTAACTCACAGCTCAGCAATGGAAACCACACAGTGCCTGTTGTCTCTAAAACAACCACTCCTCTTTCCCAGTCTGCACTGAAGCAAGATATGACCAACCTGGAGAACAATATGGAGATGTAGCAAGAAGTTAAGAAGATAGGAGAAAAGTCCCTGAAAACATTTCTCTTGCTTCTTCTTATATCTGTCAAGTTAATTATGCTTCAACTAAAATAATAGATGGTCACCAAATTGAATACCACCCCAAAACCCATTCTCAGCATTAAACTACCATGGATTAACTGCTTAAATTGTGAGCTTTAGCGTATAGCATCAGCATAACCCTTGAATGAATTATGGACTTGCATTCACTCCAGGACAATCTATTACCCTCTCACATAACAGAAAATGCCATTTATTGCAATTTGTGCAAACTATAAATCAAGACATTATTACTTAGAGGCATGTATGCTGTGGCTATACTGCATACTCCTGCATTTGGTAATGGTGTGTATGTGTTTGGGTGGGGAGGAATAGATATAGATGTAAAAATTCCCAGGAGAATTAATGGTGGCTGCTATCTCCTTGTGCTGTAAAGTGCCATCTCTGTTCAAGTGTTCCTTTGGGTCTGAAATATATACTGACCCTCAAATAATCAAGTTTTGAATGTAGTTTTAAGTTGGAGGAATTGATTGTGCAGCTCCAGAAGGTAGTAGAATCCTTTTGCAGACATTTCCACCCTGGAACCATCTGGGAGGTAAGGCGGACTTTGGAAAACACTGATGCCTACATGAAACTCCTAGGGGTTATGATAAAAATTTTCGGGTTGCACCCAGATGGCAGAATTTTAAAAAAGCCATTCAGATGCTTTTTAAATGGATAGCCAGAGTTAATAACCTCTGCTCTACAAAATAGAAAGAGGAAAAAAAAAAAAACAGAAAACGTAAAAGGAGAGTAGTTATGGGCTGTAATTTTCTCAAATCAAAATGGAAATGCATCTTGGGGATTTCAGATAGGAGCAAATCCACGGGATGCTGCTTATACTATTTCTGTGAACACTCTGAGGAGCGAAAAAAGATAAAATTAAGTGTGTCTGACAAGAAGTAAGTGCTTAATAAATCCTTATTTCCTCTCTTAAAAATGCAGATAACTGATAGAGACCTCCTTGTGCAAGTAAGCACATACCAGCCTTGCATAAAGCTTTGCCACTTTCCTTTGGTCCTTCATGCTGTGCTTTTTGACCCTTTTTATGTCATGGTGCTTCTCGACCCTTTTTATGTCATGGTGCTTTTCGACCCTTTTCATGTCATGAGAAAACGATGTTTGATCTGCGCACTGGAGTGAATAACCGAGGCTGCAGCCCAACTATTGCCAGTTCTGAGGTGTCAATATCTGGTGGGAAACAGCAGTGACTTTTTGTCCCTGGAAGACAAGAGAGTTTGCAAGAGTTTCTGGGTATTTCTTGAAAAAGTGTACCCTTCAAGATTATTTTCATTTTACCTACAGCACCAACAAGACACTGGAAGTCAGTGAGATGGCTGCCAACATCATAAGGTAATAATGAGAGCTACAATTTGCCGAATGAATGCTATTTGCACCTACTATGCTGAAGTGATTCTCATCTATCAGCTCCTTCAGTTCTTCTGACCACCTTGTAAGTAGGCATATTTAACCCCATTCCCCACAAGGTAAGTGGATCCCCACTATTCCTGACCATCATTCTGTGACAGCTCAAGTACTTCATCATTTCCATTCTGTTCACTCTGTTTCTAATCACTCCTTCCTGGATTTGACCATGGCAGAGCCTTGGAAAGAGTTTTCTACTCCAGATTTTAGCTACCTGGAAACTTTCTCATTTTCATTTATGATTCAAACCCTGCCTCTTGTGATCATCAACCACCATGCTGGTCTCCTCTGCTTTAGAGTCCTGTAGAACTTAAAATCTGCTCTGTTGCACTCCAATTTCTGTTCCATGTGGCTAGCATATTTATGTGTGTGTGTGTGTGCTTTATTTTCCCAAAGATCCTACAACTCTTGATAGCAGATCTGTGTCTCATACTTCTCTTCCTCAGCAAATGCCTTAATTAATTAGCAGTACCTATTAAGCCCTACAATGATTGTTTTTCAGAAGTTTTAAACAATTTTTCCCCTTGAGGAGTGGAATGAAACAGGGTAGGCAGTGTCCTATAATGGAAAAGATGACTTGAGACATCGCAGACCTGGGTTTTTTTTTTAAATTTTTATTTATTTATGATAGTCAGAGAGAGAGAGAGAGAGAGAGAGAGAGAGAGAGAGAGAGAGAGGCAGAGACACAGGCAGAGGGAGAAGCAGGCTCCAAGCACCGGGAGCCCGATGTGAGATTTGATCCCCGGTCTCCAGGATCGTGCCCTGGGCCAAAGGCAGGCACCAAACCACTGCACCACCCAGGGATCCCCAGACCTGGTTTTTAACTCTGGTTCTGCTCTTCACCTCTTGCATGACAAGTCGTATAGTTACCGAATTGTCTGTTTTCTCATTTGTAAAATGGCATGATAGTGTTACCTTGCAAAATTATTATGAGAATGGTATTATCTTGCAGAATAAAATATCTGGCTCAGGACCTGAAATGTGTCCTTAGGAAATGTTAGCTCTTTCATAATTATTATGTGTCATAATTGGTTGCCATAGAATTTTTTATGACATCACTTTTGTAGGGACAATGTCAGGATAGGTTCTGTTAAAGTGAATTATCTCTCTGTACTTATGTTTTATGTCATGGTTAGTGAGGAGTATTGGTGAGACTGGCAGAGGGTAGGCAGCCAAGCTGGTGAGTGGAAGGCATCCAGTAGAGGCTGCATGGAGTCTTATTAGGTGAGGTTTATTTAGTCACAAAAACCCATCCTGGGCATTCATTTGCACTATACATAATAGCAAGAGCACTGAACATGGAGTCAATAAAGCTAGATTCATTGCCTGGCTCTGTTGCAAACTAGCTATGTGACTATGAACAACAGCCAAGTCCAAGTATCAGATTAGGCCCAGCCAGTTCAGAAACTGTCCTCTGAAGTCTATTTAACAATGTTTTCCTCCTTTGTTCTCAAAGACAACAGAAAGGACTCCTTGAGACTGACCGGACCACTTCCCTCCATGGAACAACATTATGCAAGGTTTATTAGAGAAGGAGCATAAGCAGTATTTTTTCCCTTGTGCCGTCACTTCATGTTCTTCTCTCTTATGGCCTACAACTGAAATGTTGTTTAATTTATCATCATTATCCAAACGGAGACACTTTTGAAAGTGAAAGGTGGTGCTACTGGCAATTAAACCAGAACAACAGGGATAAAGTGAGATTATTTTTTTCTGTAGCCATACAATCAGGTTGTATGGCTACAAGGCCTCTTGATGGCACTTTGTTCACCAGTCTAACCTCCCCACCTGATCATGTTCTCTCCAGAGCAGACCATGTTTCACTCATATCTAGATCCCCAGCACCCTGTACAGTGTCTAGGACACAGTGGGTACTCAGTAGGTATTTGGTGAATGAAGGAACTCATGAATTAACTAGTTGGGGACGCATTGGGTAACCTTGAGTAGCTCAGGTGAGCTCTTGGTGTCTCTGGAAAATGAGCAGTAGATGAGTGATTTCAAGGTCCTTCCAACTTCCCAGTTTACAACTCTTCCCAAATTGAGCAGTTTCTGCTTATATCCTTCCTCTTGGATGACTTAGATGTGCTCTCTGAGAACCAGAGGAAAGCCCCAGCCTTGAGTTGGAGGTGTTGCAGAGATAGCTGTCAACACCTGCCTTGCTGTGAGCCCAGGGAAAGATCTCTTCACATCTATGGGAGTCTGAAAGGTAGAAAGGAGAAAGAAATTAAGAAAACCATGCTTGTGCTTTTCTTACTTATGGTTGGTTAAAAGAGAGAGAAAGAGAAAGAGAGACATGGAAAGGAGATTCAGCAGTGCCAAGGTCATAGAATAAATTGATGACCAGGATAGGAAGAGCCTCAGACAACTATTTCCTAAGGGAAGTCTTTCAGCCTAAGTTGGGAGAGTGAGCCCATGGAGTCCCTCAGCATAGGCACAGGGCAGTATTTTTGTCAGCGGCAGCCCTTTCAGGGAACCATGACTGCAGTCATATTGAATCATGAACTAGATTAGCCACATTAGAGGTTTAGCTACAATATATTTCAAAGTTAAAACACAGGCTGTGGCAGTGGTATCAAAACCTATAATTTCTGATGCAAATGAACGGCATGAAAAATGGCCCCTGGCTACTGGGATAGATAGAGGCATATGTGAGTGAAATAACATGGCAGTTATGTCAAAATTGGAAGAATAACTGTATTCCAGAATAGTAAATTATTATCATGGCCTGACTCGTAGAGTAACCCAGAAGGTAGGAGAATGTATTTTTTTGTACCTGGATAAAATTACATTGTCAATTTTGTTTAGTCCCTCTTTAAAACCTGAGCATTCATTTTTGAAAATATGTGTGGAACATAAGGTGACATTTGGAAAAAAAAGCATAATTTTCAAAGAATACTGATCCCATTAGTTCTTATATTACAGATGTCGATGAATTTAACTTTTATAGTTTTGCTAACACATGGAAGGCATAAAATGGACTTTCAGCTACCTAGGGTTTTCAACAACATTTCAGGGAAGTACCTGAGCTTTATAAAATGTTTTCAGCGGGGCATACTGTGGCATTGGGTTTTGTAGGCACAAGCCCATGGAATCAGAAATCTTTAACTTCAAGTGCTAGGGCCATTTCTTATTGGCTGAGTGAACTTATGCAACCTACATAATTGCGCTGAGCCTAACTTTTCTTATCTTTAGAATGGGTATAATAATACCTTCCTTATTAAGGCCCCATAAAGATTAGAAATGATAATATGGGGAAAGTTTTAGAATATATCTGTCTTCATATATCAAGCACTTTAAAAAGGAACTGTTATTGTTGTTATTATTATTATTTAATGTTCCCTATGATACGTATCTTTTAAAAGTCATACTTTTAGAATCAACTGGGGGGGTTAAAGCAAAGATAGTGGGTTTAGTATTTTGTTAACATTGTTAACTTTTGTTCATGTTTGAATTGACTCTGATAGTGGGTGATGTGTATATATAGTGAGCTAACTAACCTTTCTAAAAGTAGCAATCTTGGGATCCCTGGGTGGCACAGCGGTTTGGCGCCTGCCTTTGGCCCAGGGCGTGATCCTGGAGACCCGGAATCGGATCCCGTGTCGGGCTCCCGGTGCATGGAGCCTGTTTCTCCCTCTGCCTGTGTCTCTGCCTCTCTCTCTCTCTCTCTCTCTGTGACTATCGTGGATAAATAAAAATTAAAAAAAATAAATAAAAGTAGCACTCTTCAAAGTTTTTAACAAATTAAACTGTAAAACCCTCCCAATCAGAAGGAAAATATAGATATATTTCATCTTTATTTTTTATTTATCTATAATTTACTAAATATCAGATACTAAAATATATAAATATCATTTATTTAAGTTTTATACTCACTGTTACCATGAATTAGATATATACACTCACACACACATACACATAAATACACACACATACTAAACAAATTTATGTATTTTGAGATTTGCCCCTCTATCCCAGAGAGCAACAAAACAAAGTGGCAATAATTGGTTGAGAGGAAGCCTTTGGGGTTAGGCAAACATGGGCTTGATTTCTAGCTTGTTTTTTTTTTTTTTTTTTTTTTTTTTTTTTTGCTAGCTGTGTGATCTTAGATTTAGCTTCTATGTGTCTCAGCTTCCCCATCTAGGAAATGAAAGCAATATCTGCTATAGGATTATTGTAGGGATTAAAATAATGCATAAAATGCTTGGCATGGTGCCTATCACATGGTACAGTCTACATAAATATTGTCTGTTATTAAAAAGGTTATGCAGGGTTTGAAACCATGATTTGGTCAAAAGGCAGAAATACCATACCAAGAAATCATGTAAATATCCAAGTAGTTCTTACAAGATGGTTAGCTGAAAGGATCTAATTTCTGTATAGACAATAGGTTCTTTATGTCATTTTCATGACTGGATGGCATTATTCCCTTGCGGTTTCAATGCATTTCTAGCTCCCAAAAACTATTGTAAAAAGAAAAGCAAATTTGAATATTGTATCTGGTTAACTTAATACTATGTTTAGAAGAAGACTTTTTAAAAAAGAAAACATTATTTTGTCTACCTACAAGTAGGTATGGCCTTGTGTTAATGTCATAGGTAAACTTAGTTTGATTCAGTGCATTGCAGTTTCAAAGCATTTTTCACAACTGTTATTCCAGTAGGAAAATATGGATATGGCAAATAAGTGGAACTGGTATTGACAAATATGAGGAAAGCTATTAAAAAATGTTATGGTCTAAAAAATGTTATGGTCTGAGCGAACATTTTTGTAGACCTATATCTATCTATCTATGTGTCTATATCTATCTGTCTATCTAAATTTGTTATTTGAGGATTTGAAAATGGTCTACTTTGCCATCTAGTAATTTTGATTATAGGTCTCATTTCTTTTGTTAAAAATTCTCAAATTCAACAATTTGCACTGAGTTT